TTTGTGCTTAGCTTTATTTCCTAACTATAGAGATCACTTATTTTTTAAAATGCTTTTTCATTTTAAAATAGTTTTATTCATAAGAAGTTGCAAAAATAGTGCGGAGGTTTTTCACGTACCCATCACCCAACTTCTCTTAATGTTTTCTATTTTTATTCCCACTGTGATCAAAGTAACTATAGGTTTATTTTAGGGAAATAATTGGCCAAAGATATTGTGAGACTCTTTTCCTTGCCAGGTCCCAGATTAATAGTTTTTTTTTCTCTAAGGCAGTAAATACTAGTTATCATCATTGTTATTCCAGGGCCAATTTTTCAAAAATTATTTCTTTCCTGCCCTTCTACATTGTATTAAGTCCTACTTTCCAGAAAGTTGTCTTGTTAATGGCTCTTCAGGATTGTTTGTCGGTTGTCAGCTGCAGCTGAAACAGGAGACTGCAACAAGAGCTTTGAGTCACTGTTTATTGTAGAACAATATTAGCTGTTAAATGGATTGGGACTTTTACACAGGAACTTAGCTAATAGCCTGCAAGCTCTTTAGTCACTTGCTCTCATTATTTTGACTTAATGTTCCCAGATGACAAGTACAAAGATCCCTTGAAACCATCTTTGTATTCCTGAATGTGACTTTTTTTGGAATCTTCTGGAAAGCTTGATGATACAGTAATAACATAGAACTTTTACATTTTGAAAAATCATTCCTTTCAGAATAAACATTTCTGGGAATGAGGCCTAGGAATTTATTTTTAACCAACTCTCCAGGTAGTTTTCAGGCCGCCTTCAGTATAGTAATCTCTCATACCACTATTTTAAGACTCTGGGAATGTTACTTCTTAATATCATTAAAAATGGAAAAGCTGGGATATCCCCAAATTATTTCATTAGGATGAATGGGGGAAAGTTTGCATATATTTAAGAAAGCGCAAATGTCTCAAGTTTATTAAGAATGGTAAATTGGTTCGGTGTGGTGGCTTACGGCTGTAATCCCACCACTTTAGGAGGCCAAAGTGGGTGATCACCTGAGGTTCAGGAATTCAAGACCAGCCTGGCCAACATGGCAAAACTGCATCTCTCCTAAAAATACAAACATTAGCCAGGCATGGTGGCACGTGCCTGTAATCCCAGCTACTCAGTAGGGATAATCGCTTGAACCTGGGAGGTGGAGGTTGCAGTGAGCAGGGGTTGTGCCAGTGCACTCCAGCCTGGGAGACAGAGCTTGACTCCATTTCCAAAAAAAAAAAGTAAATTACAGAAAAGATATGACATTATAAATAGAACAGTCTAGTGGTCTATGGACCTTATGTGAGAACCACTTGATTACTTAATAGTTTAGATATTCCTGAAATCATTTTTGGTCAAACTGAAATTTATGAAATTCTTATTTTTTTTTTTTGCTTGTTTTCCCTAGTATAATGCTTGGCAAATAGTAGGTTCTCAATTTCATATAAGAACATTTAATATTTAGATACATGAAATGATTTGCATAGGGAATTGACTCTGAATAATGTCTTTATATATCTGTTAAAATTATTTGAAGGAATATGTTTATATTTTAACTTATGAAAATATTTTGTTTTCTAACTAATTTATCTTGTGACAGTGCTATTCTTATATATTGCATCATTTAAGTTAATTAAATGCTCTTTACATGTTAAACTTTTATTCAAGAGTCTAGTAATGACTGTGAAGATAATCCAACACGGAACAGAGGCTTTTCCAAGAGAGGCGGTAAGGACAACATTTTGGAACAATTTGTACTTAACACAGAGACACTAAACTGGTAAAACTGATTTTGAAGGAGCTGGATGAAAAATACTGATGGTGAAAACCTTTGAAGGAAAATACTTTGGTATATGTTTTCTGCTTTTAATATTTGAGTGAGTATTCAGTAGGTGCCCTTCCTTTCACTCTTTTTTTTTTTAACTTTTAGGTTCAGGGGTACATGTGTAGGTTTTGGTTATCTAGGTAAATTGCAGGTCATGGGGTTTTGGTGTACAGATTATTTCATCACCCAGATAATAAGCATAGTACCTGATAGGTAGTTTTTTGATCCTGTACCTCCTCCTACCTTCTACTCTAAAGTAGGCCCTAGTGTCTGTTGTCCCCTTCTTTGTGTCCATGTGTTCTCAGTGTTTAGCTCCCACTTTATAAGTAAGAACATTCAGGATTTGACTTTCTGTTCCTGCATTAGTTTGCTTAGAATAATGGAGCTCCATTCATGTTCCTGCAAAGGACATTATGTCATTCTTTTTTATGGCTGCATAGTAGTTAGTCCATGGTGCGTATGTACCACGTTACCTTTGTCCAGTCTACTGTTGGTGGGCATTTAGGTTGATTCTGTGTCTTTGCTATTTTGAATAGTGCTGTGATGAAGGTATGTGTACATGTGACTTTATGGTAGAATTATTTATATTCCTTTGGGTATATACCTAATAATGGGATTGCTGGATCGAATGGTAGTTCTGTTTTATGTTCTTTGAGAAATCGCCACACTGCTTTCCACAATGGCTCAAGTAATTTACACTCCCACCAGCAGTGTATAGGCATTCCCTTTTCTCTGCAACCTTGCCAGCATCTGTTATTTTTTGATTTTTTAATAATAACCATTCTGATTGGTATGAGACGGTATCTCATTGTGGTTTTGATTTGCATTTCCCTAATAATTAGTGATGTTGAGCATTTTTTCATCTGCCTGTTGGCTGTATGTTGTCTTTTGAAACATGTCCATGTCCACTGCCCACTTTTTAACAGAGTTGTTTGTTTTTCTGCTGGTACATTTAATTTCTTTATAGATTCTGGATATTAGGCCTTCGTTGGATGTGTAGTTTGCAAATATTTTCTCCCATTCTGTAGGTTGTCTGTTTACTCTGCTGATAGTTTCTTTTGTTGTGCAGAAGCTTGTTCATTTAATTAGGTCCCATTTGTCAATTTTTGCTTCTGTCAAGGTGACTTTTGGCATCTTCGTCACAGAATCTTCCAGGGCCTGTGTCTAGAATGGTATTTTGTAGGTTATCTCCAGGGTTTTTATAGTTTTAGGTTTTACATGTTATTCTTTAATCCATCTGGAGTTGATTTTTGTATGCAGTCTAGGGAAGGGGTCCAGTTTCAATCTTCAGCATATGGCTAGCCAGTTATCCTAGCACCATTTATTGAATAAGGAATCCTTTCCTTATTGCTTGTTGTTGTCAACCCTGGCAAAAATCAGATGGCTGTAGGTGTGTGGAATTCCCGTTTGCAGATGGTATGATTTTATACCTAGAAAACGCTATAGTCTCTGCCCCAAAGTTCCTTGATCTGATAAATTCTTTCAGCAGAATTTCAGGATACAAAATCAATGTACAAAAATCAGTAGCATTGCTATCCACCATATTGTTAAAATGGCCATACTGCCTAAAACAATTTACAGATTCAATCTACCAATGACATTCTTCACAGAATTAGAAAAAGAAAACAATTTTAAAATTCATATGGAACCAAAAAAGAGCATGAATAGGCAAGGCAATCCCAAGCACAAATAACAAAGCTGGAAAGCATCGCATTACCTGAGTTCAAAGTATACTACAAGGCTACAGTAACCAAAATAGCATGGTACTGGTCCAAAACCAGATGCCGAGACCAATGGAACAGAATAGAGAGCACAATTTTAATTTAATTTTTTTTTTTTTTTGAGATGGAGTCTCACTCCGTCACCCAGGCTGGAGTGCGGTGGTGTGATCTTAGCTCACTGCAACCTCCACCTCCTGGGTTCAAGTGATTCTTGTGGCTTTACCCTCCCTCATAGCTGGGACTGCAGGCATGTACCAGTACGCCTGGCTAAGTTTTGTATTTTTAGTAGAGACGGGGTTTCACTATGTTGGCTAGGCTGGTCTTGAACTCCTGACCTCAGGTGAGCTGCCGCCTCAGCCTTCCAAAGTGCTGGGATTACTGGCATGAGCCACCGTGCCTGTCCTTGTTTTACTTGCTGATATCACTGATCTGTTGTTTCCCCCCCCCATGATCGTGCTATAAATTGCAGAAGGAACGTGCTATAAATTACAGAAGAGGAACAATGTGAATCTTGGTCAGTCGCGGTTTAGATGAACTGGGGATGTCTTTGTCTCTGAATAGAGTCATTGGAAATTTGAGGATGGAAGAAATTGTAGATTATTTTTTGTTCAAGTCTAGCAGTATTTCACCATACTCTGGTAATTCAGCTTCTATTGAATTCGAGATGAGATAGTATCAAAAATTACCATGCTTAATTCTTGATTACATATGGGCAGTCGTGTTAAAATAGCAATGACAACAAAACATATGAAAAATATAGTGAACTTATTATAAAATTGCTACGGATGTGCAAATCTATGTTAAGAGGTTTTGTAGTAATCACATACATGAATTTTTGCTGCACTTTGATGACATTCTTTTCCTTTGCCCATTAGGTAGGTAGTTGGCTGAATTAGGCCCTCCCTAGTGAAGGTAGGACTTGTGGATTTCAGAATGAGGGAAGACTGTCTCCTTAATTACTTCTTACGGTAATTATGGAGAGGGGTGGTGGTGGGGAGAAAGTTAAGCTAAGAAAAAACAAGACTCATCTTTTACCATATTTTTTTAAACAAGCAATTTTTGGCACTTAATGTTCCTAAAACATAGCTCATATTTGAAATTTTTTTCTTCAGACCATGAATATCTTTTGTACTATTAACATTAACATTTACTTTAAATCAATTTAATTCATATTTAAATGAGGCAATCGAAACCATTTGCAGCTCTGTGTGCTTGGTCCTGTAGCAAGTGTAGGATAATTAGATTATAGATTAGTGTAGGATAATTAGCAGGGACACAGCTATTTTTCAGGGTATCCCTGATTCCCATTCTCTGTAGATGTATACATTTGAGGATAGGAAGACTGCATATAGTGGTCGCTCAGAAAATACATGTGTATATATATGTTTGTATTAAAATATGTAGACAGGTACATATACCGTAAATGTATAGCTCAATTATATTTCACAAACTGAACTCACTTGAGTTCAGTGTGTTCACCAGCATTCAGGTCATGAAATACAAATTACTAGCACCTCAAAAGCCCCTTTTCATGTTCATTTTTTACTCACTAATTACTCATTACCCCTAAAACCTCTATTAAGCCTTCTAACAGCAAACAATAATTTTGTCTATTTTTATACTTGATATAAATGGAATCATATCATATGTAGTGTTTTATGTTTACCTTCTTAGTGTGTTTGTTGCAGTTGTAGATCATTATTACTGTTTAGTATTCTTTTGTTTTACTGTTGTTCTATTAATGATAGGTATTTGGATTACCTCCAGTTTGGGGCCATTATGAAAGTGCTTCTGTAAACATTCTAGTATTCTTTTGGGTGTCAGTAGTACATACGCAGAAGAAGAATTGCTAGGTCATAAGCTATATATATTTTTGGCTTTAATAGTATTGTCAAATGTTTCAGCGTTTAAACTAAGATACACTTTCACATTCTAACCAATGCCTGGTATTTTATTTTTCTCTCATTTTAACCTTTCTCCTGGTTGTGTGGTGGTGTACTCATTATGTATTACATTTCTATGTTTTTGGACTAATGGAATGTGGAGCACTTCTTATGTTTATTGGCCATTTTGACATCTGGACATCTTTTGTCATTTGCCTGTTTTTCTATTGAGTATCTTTACTTTTACCTTTTTATTTGTAAATGATTTAAAACTTAAAAGTTGCTAGAATAGTTCATACAGATAGGCCAGGCGTGTTGGCTCATGCCTGTAATGCCAGTACTTTGGAAAGCTGAGGCGGGCAGTTCACTTGAGGTCAGGAGTTTGAGACCAGCCTGGCTAATATGGTGAAACCCCGTCTCTACTAAAAATACAAAAATTAGCCGGGCGTACTCCTGTAGTCCCAGCTACTCGGGAGGCTGAGGCAGAAGAATCGCTTGAACCCGGGAGGCAGAGGTTGCAGTGAGCTGAGACTGTGCCACTGCACTCTAGCCTGGGTGACAGAGAGACTCCGTCTTAAAAAAATAAGTAATTGGCATTAATCTGGAGTTTATTTTTGTATGTAATGTAGGAATCAATGTACATTTTTTTCCATATAGATGTTCAGTTGACCTAGTATCACTTATTGAAAAGACTGTCCCTTCCACTCTGCACTACAGGGCTGTCTTTGTCCTAAATTAGGTGGCTTATGTATGTGTATCTGTTTCTCTAGGTTTTATTCCGTTGGTCGGTTTTTCTATTTTTGTACCATTGCCCCATAATCTAATTACTGTGATTTCATAATAGGTCCTGATATCTGGCATTGTAAGTCTTTCAAGTGCTTGTTTTTCAAGGGCTGTGGTTTGGATGTTTGTCCTTCTCATGTTGAAATTTGATTCCCAGAGCGGGAGGTAGGGTCTAATGGGAGGCGTTTGGGTCATGGGGGCGCAGATCCCTCATGAATAGACCTGTTCTCCTTGCGGGGGTGTTGAATGTGTTCCCTATTAGTTCCCTTGAGAGCTCGTTGTTAAAAAGGGCCTGGTACCCTCTATTTCCTCTGCATCATATGATCTCTGAACACACCAGCTCCCTTTCACCTTCAGCCATGGGTGGAAGTAGCCTGGGGATCTTACCAGATGCCCAATCTTGAACATTTTCAGATATCAAATTGTGAGCCAAATAAACTTTTTTTTTTTCCAATTAATTATCCACTCTCAGGTATCCCTTTAGAGCAATACAAAACAAATGAAAACCTCAAGATT